TGGACTTCAACTCCCAGAATTCCCCAGCCAGCATGGCTGGCTGGGGAATTCTGGGAATTGAGGTCCACACAGCTTAAAGTTGCTCAGGTTGAGAAACACTGCTCTAGTGAATCCGGGTGGTGTCTGTCTGAGTCACTTCCTAAAATTATTTGCCTGTTGTAGACTTAAAATAAGTTTTTCCCCTTGTCATTCAGCAACAGAGCTTGCATCAGGTTCCTTACTCTCTACATCACATCCCTCTTCCTCATATGCTATGAGGTTCATAAGCCTAAAAACGACTGATATGTTGGAGGCTTTTGGACCAAAATGCAGGTGTTCAAATGCTTACCTAAAAACCCCTTAAACTGTGCGATCCTATGCGTGCTGACTCAAAAGTAATTCAGTTGGAGTCTTGCGACCATCCAGAGCCACAGCCTATTCATCCTTGCCACTGTCATTCAACTCCACTTAGAGGACCGCTACAATAAAACCCTACAACTGGTGGAAGCCCAACGACCCACCCACATGGGAAACATCTTTAAAAAAAACAGACTTACACATCAGCCATGGAAGAGGGAATGTTTTCTTCAACCCATTTCAAGTCTTCATCCTGCAACTGGAAAAAAACAAGGTGGAAAAACTTAAGCCTGTAGGGATCCCTTTGCTAGATTGGACCAAAACAAGCATTTCTGCCTGTTTAGGGTGGATCAGGCAGGTTTCTTGCAAAGGGCATAGAAAGAGGGCTTTCAACCTCCCAACCATCCCACCCCAACTGGCAGCCATAGGTCAGGGCCGGCCCGAGAGACGCTCCTGCCCAAGGTGGAGCATGAATGACAGAATCTTCCTCTGCTCCCCCACCCACATTGGTCAAGCTGCACCAAAATCGAAGAAATCAGGAAAATCTCATAAGCAGCTCTGGCCATGAAGAATCAAAACAGCACGTGTTGCTTGTTCATGACCCTTCCTCTCTGTCTTTGGGGGCAGGGGGGCAGCTGGCCTTCTCCTTAGGGTCAATCTTGGGGTATCAAGGACCACACCCCCAACAGTAGTGGGTTGGCCAGGGAAAAAAACTCTCCCTTTGGCTTCATTCCATTTTGATTTCAATTAAATACGATGAAATATGTAGGGAGAGGCACCATATTCATCCATTTCACCTTGTACCACATGAAAAATTGCAGTTTGGGAACAGCTTCTGGAGGGATTGTGGCTAAACTTAGCAAAGAAATGGAGGGGGGGGCGAGAGAAGGCAGAGAAACACAATTCAAGATTCTTACCACTCGGTTGCCTTTCAGAATTCCATTGACTTCTGGTTTTCCACCCCTCATCTTCATTCCTGTGGCAAAAAAATAAAGGGAGAAAGAGGAAAATAGAGAGAGGAAACGGGGGAAGGAGGAAAAGGAACTCCCTTCCAGATCAGAAACTCCAGATCAAATCTAGAATGAGTACAGGTTAGCAATATTCATTTTCCTGGGCAGAAACGTCTCCTGCAAGGGCTCACTTGATCCCAAGAGATCCGCAAGAATGCATCTGGGTGTGCACATGCACGTGCACAGGCCCACACCCACCACTCCACCCGAGGAAAAGCAGACCAGGCCAGCCTGCCTGCAGAACACAGTCCGTGCTTCAAGAGCCAGAGACGCAGTCCTGGGCCGTGGAGCAGAGGAGACCCCGGGCACGGCCACCCTGGCTTACCAAAGACTTCGTTGACCACCTGCTCCTCGTCCTCGTCCTCCTGCTCGCTGCCCTCATCCACCAACGGCATGAAGGCGTATCTGTGGGGAGAGGCCAGGAATGGGGCGTTATATCGGGGGGGGGCTCATCCACAGCAGACCAACACTCGCCCCTCTCCCTGGCTTGAGAACTCAACAGACGCTTCCTCCTTGCGGAGAGGAGAATGGAGGCAGCCTTGAAGGAGGAACGCGAGGGCAGTCAAGGGACCACCGGCTTAGCCCGGAAAGAGCGGGGGAGTTGAAAAAGAGACTCAAGATGGCCCCCCTTTGATTCTCGTGGGTGCAAAAGTGGGGGGGGGAGAGAAAAACTCTGGTGGGCTTCCTGAATCTGTTATTATACCAGCCACAGCCTATTCATCCTTGCCA